TCTATTACTCCTATTTGCGCTCACTCCAACTCTGTAACCACTTGCATGCTAGTGGCTTCCCACCTTGCTTGGGGTGAAACGGTTAATATATATATATATATATATATATATATATATATATATATATATATATACTATAATCTTGAAATGGTAAACTCAGTGGGGAAGGGCTGTGTGTCTATGTATGTGTCACTGTTATAATCATTTTTATATATTTTGAATTTTTTTTTTTTTAAACCAGTCTACACATGTTGACATGCCATTTTTGAAAGAAGTTTTAAGTACACTGAACCACCACTCATTCTCTTTGTGGTGGGGGTATGAGTGCACATCTATAATAAACTCAGGTCTTGTAATGTTCCCTGAAAATTTGTTTGCTTGTTTCTTTTTCCTGCATTTTTATGCCTGTACCAATGATACTTGGAGAAATACATTTTAAAACTGCAAATTGTGATTTTGTTATTTGACTAATGAATCAAAGAATAATTTTTGTTTTTTTTAATTTTTAAAGGTATTCATTAAAAATTACATTTTCAAGTCTATAAATTTTTAAGCTAGTTTACTTAGGTTTACTGTTTTTGCGATAAGTATTTCAATTTTTAATTCAGATTTGGTGACTTGTAAATTATAACATGACAGTAATTTTTATCAGCTATTTTCTTTTTAAATAAGAACAAAGATTAATTTTCTTTTTAAAACTTTCCAGTATGGGTGGGGATTATTTCTAGATATTAATCATTCCTTATCTATATTATAATTAAATTACATGCAATGACTTGTGTAACAAAATCTCAGAAAGAGAGAACTTTTATTCCTTGGAAACAAAGTAACAGCTTTATGAAAAGGCAGCCACTTGAAAATACAATGATTTGTTGATTTTATTCCATAGAGTAAAGATCTGTCAGTTTTTCTTTTATGAAATCATGTCTGGGAACATTTTTATTGTAGAAAAATAAATTTCAAGCACACAACACAATTTAAGTCAAAAACAAAGAAAGTAGTAAAAAATATGTTAGTATAGCAAACAAGATCCATCAAAGATTTTCAAAAATTTGCAGTGCAATAGCCTCGAGAATCTTGATTAAAAATGTTTGGAGGTAAATATTGAAATGTTAAAATCATTTTACTTTATTTGAACAACAAATTAGCTTAATTTATAAATTTCAATGTTAAATATAATAACCTAAAATAAAAATTTTGTTTTAATTATTTTTACTATATGCAAAATCTTCTCAATTGCCAACTATCATCTCACTTATCTTTAAATATGACATCACATGACCATAAAACTTTTTTGTTTCCATACCATTTTATTTGATATAAACAATGATACAATTGAAAAAGTTATATATATGCTAAGCAATGTGTCCAGATAATCTTTAGCAAAAAAATAAACCCAAAGTATCAGTCCTTTTAATTAAAATTTAAGGTAAAAGATTTTTTTCATTTCTCATAAAGACCAAATGAATATCTAGTTTTCAGGCCAATACAAATGTTATAAAGTTAGTTTAGAATATTTAAATTGTACAATTGCTGGTATTTTTTATTAAAATACAGTGATTTTACTAATAAACTGTTTATCTTTAATGAAAGAATGGAATGAATGATAATTTTTTTAAAATGGTCACATCTTTGTTCAAGTTTTATGACAGAAAAAACTTATGCAATAATCTTTTCTCATATTTCAAAATTACTGAAAATTCTTTTTATATTTACATCCAAAATATTGTATATATATATATATATATATATATATATATATATTAGTCTCTTCCACCTGTATAACAATAGGAAACTGCATCATTTGTCAATTTTTTTTCTATGAGTTTTTCTTAAACAGGTAATAATTTTTTGAGTTTTAGATTCTGTAATTTTTGCTTATTCAATAAGGAAAACAAACATTATATGTCTTGAAGACGTTTGGCTATCTTAGTATTGTTCCTATTTAATTATAGATTTGATTAATTAATGTTTAATCATTTAAGAACAGAAATATTGCAGTAAATAAATAAAATAAAATGAAAGACTAGTTATATAACCAAACTCTTCATATGGTTTTAGCAATTCAGCCATTCAAAAATTGTATTCTGACTCACTTTAAATGCAGTCAGTTCCTCTATTTTAAGAAATTTCTGTAATTTTAATCAAAGAAATGAAGGATTAATATAAATATTCTTAAACTTTGTAGGCTACATTAATTTCTTTATGAGGTAAACCATTGTGATAAACATAATGTATGCAAGTGTAATTCAATAAATCTGTAGTCTTACAGTTAGCCAAATTTTGATGTAAAAATTTTCATTATTTCATTTGTGATTAATGTAGAGGCACTGGCTTAATTATATTGGCAAGAAAGGATATGAAAAAATACTTGTGAAAAATAAATACTACCTAAATTAATTTCTTTCTCATAAAGACCGAATAAGTATTTTCAGCACCCTCTTGTAAAGAGGGTGCTGAAAAGTTCTCGACCTGGCCCACTTCCCCAAAATCAAACCAAACATCAGAATTATTTAAACCTTTAGTCAGGATAAGGACTTTTAATCCTGGTCAGCCACCTCAGTAAAGTCATGCTCTATATTATCCATAACCATTTGAAATCCAAAGCTGAAGAACTACTGTCAGAAGAGCAGGCAGGTTTTAGAGCTGGATGGAGCAAAGTGGGAGAAGTCAACTTGGGTCCTCATTGAGAAACATCTGCAAAACCAGAGGGACATGTTCCACAATTTCATTGATTTTCAAGAAAGCATTTGATTGGCTATGGCATGGTGGCCTCTGGCACATCCTTAGAGGATTCAGCATAGAAGAACGGCTCATACAAGTCATCTATGCCCTCTATGCCCATGCCACCAGTGCAGTTGTCTTAAGCAACCAAGTAGGAGATTTCTTTCAAATGACAGTCAGACAGGGATGCTTACTTTCTCCAACACTCTTTATACAGTGTACATAATACTACATTCCTCTAAAACAAATTAACTTTCACCACAGTAACTACAGTATGAGTAATGTTTTTAGTATTTCTACAGTAGAACTTTCTTCATAAAAATTTTTTATGCATTCTTATTTCACCATATCACCATAAAACATATCAATCTGTCACATGCTACCTTTACTACTTGTGGATTCATTAATGATTATATTGTGATGAAAACTATTGATAATGATATTCAGTAGCAATAAATATGGCTCCAAACCAGATTATTAAGGCTGAAATAAGCCTGATGTTATGCTTATACTTAAAATTTACTTAAAAATTTTCACCATTAGTTTGAGCTTGAAAAGATGAGTTTCATTTTGTATTTGAGTTTTTTTACCCATTTTAATATATTTAATAATAAATCTAAAAAAGTTGTCAAATTTAATTATTTTTGGAGATTGTTACAATTTTACCACATACTTCTATCATTAGTCATATAATAAATAATTTAAGGATGTTTATTTTTATTTATTTTATTTATCAATCTTGAAAAATTAAAAATATTAATTGGTGAAGTTATCTCTTATGAATGATTTCAGCTCATGAAATTTGCTGCCAATTCTCTTCATATGATATTCAGTTATTGGTTAGTCTGCCATTAAATTCTTTGGCATATCAAACACTTAAAATTTTAATTCACTTTGTAGTTTTCTAATAGTTTAAGGGTTGACAAAGAAACTAGTTCATGTTTGTGAACTTCAAGAAAAAAATATTCTCTATCTTATTCTTTCACTTATAAATGTCTTATTAGTAAAGACACTGAATATTCTTCTGCATGTCATGAGATAAACATATTTAAATATTTACTAAGCTTAATTGAGCAAATGAGGTGAGGGTTGATAATAGATGGGAAGATTATGTTGCACTAATTTTTCCACTGGAAAGGACCTTGAAAATCAACATTTGAAATTCTAGTATTTTATACTGACTATCAAACCTAGTGAGAAATGTTCATCCATCAAATAAAAGCTTTAAAATTATCCTTTAGTTAAGAATTATTGTTTGAATACATTTTTCTCATATACAAAAATATCTTTATATCTTCAGAGTTTGTCTATATTTCTGAGATGAGGTATTATGTACAGTATTTACATTAGTCGGACTATTGTCCTCATCTTTGTCGCCATATTTGTCACAACGTTTCGGCCGTTGTACGCTCCGGCCTTCTTCAGGTGGTTGGAATTTCGAACTGAACCCTTTATTTCGATCGCTGGGGTAGACTGTTCTAATTCCACGTGCCATGTTTGATGGATGTCAGTTATCAGTTATCTCCTGCTAATTTTTCCTCTGAAAGTTCTCCACTGGTTCTCCACTGCCTTAACCAGGAATTGAACTCACCTTCTTTGGGTCTGTCACTGGATCTAACCAACGCCTTTATCCACTGTGCCATGTGTCCAGGACACATGGCACAGTGGATAAAGGCGTTGGTTAGATGTCACGTGGAATTAGAACAGTCTACCCCAGCGATCGAAATAAAGGGTTCAGTTCGAAATTCCAACCACCTGAAGAAGGCCGGAGCGTACAACGGCCGAAACGTTGTGACAAATATGGCGACAAAGATGAGGACAATAGTCCGACTAATGTAAATACTGTATCTTTATATCTTATAAAATATTTATCCATTATGATTTTGATAGTTTCTGCTTCATATACAAAATTTTCACTCAATTAAAAAAATTTCTTCTAGTAGATGATGATTTTATTTAAAGCAAGTAATAAATATGTCAAATTTCTGTTAGATAGGATACTAAAAAGTTCTTGACCCAATCAACTTCCAAATAATTTAGCCAAGCATTGGAATTTATTTTGGAATCTATTCTTGGTTAGGCTAAGATCTTTTCAACATCTCCTGTATCCTATATATATTCAATATATACAATTTCAACATATAATTCACCTGGTAATACTATAAATAACTTGAATATTTTTGTCTCCTAAAGTACAAAACAATTGAGAAAATTATTTATCTAACAATGTTGCTCAAAAGATAATTTTCCCTTGATTCTGCATATTCTGTTTTTTGTCACTCTGAGATGATGGCTTTACGCTTATCTTTCATGGAATACCATTTCTTTAAACAGGATTTGTAACCCATCTGCAAATAGAAAACAAAAATGTCCATATAAAATATCTATTTCATACACTGTAAGATTTTATGCTAAGCAATGATTTCACAACAAAACTGATATAAAACAACTGATGTTGATAACATTTTCAGGACATATTTTAGGAGCAATATATTTATTTGTAAAAATACTGATCATTTTTTTTTTTTTTAGGAGAGTCAAGTTTTATTATTGATATAATGGAATAACCTGTCACCCCCATTAGTAACTACACTATAGGTAGTAACTACCAATAAGTATCTGTAAATCAACGGACTACAGAATCTAGCTGGGATCTGTTGAGTACAACTCAGATTTATGCAAGAACTACCGACCTTCCAATAGTAGCACTCGCTACAACTTGCGACGACTTTGTGCATAACTGTTACCTTTATTCTTATTGTACTGGTTTTTACAATAAACCGTTACTTATTTTATCCACTGTGTTTATCAAGTATATATTCCTATTAGCACGGAATATAACAATTATGCAAATCAAATGCAGCATAAATTTTTTTTTATAAATAAATCCCAAAGATATCTGCTATAGAAACACATACTTGATTATTTCATTATTTTATTTATTAATATGAACTGCTTTATATCCTCTAGCCTTCATTAGCCTTTCACTCATTGATTTTACTAACTTTTCTACTGTTTAGACATTAATATTATTTGTAGTGATTTTTATTGCTTCCCAGAAATCTTTCTTTGCTTCAATATTGTTTTCCATTTTTATATATCCATCTCTTTTAATGATAGACTATCTGAAGAAGTTGGACACCATTCCTTTAATGTGGTGTCTTTGAAATATAGGCATTTCCTAAGAATTTTACCAGCATCTGTTAGTTAATATCCATTTTATTTGGAAAACATTGATACAGTAAATTTAACATTAATCTCTATTTATTGTCCTACTATATGTCAAGTGTAGTTTTAAGTATTTGTCTAACTTTTTGCTGTATTAATTTACACTGGCAATGCCAGATGACGGTGTGCTCATGACAGCATTGTATTGCTCCAAGATGTTTACAAAGCTAGGAAGTAAAAAGTCTGATGTCATTAAAGAACAGAGTGCAAGAATAATAACTGGAAAAAATATTAACAGTTCATATATGAAAATCCAATATTAGTAAAGGCTTAAAATATGTTGTCATGGCATGTGTTATCTAGTTATTGAACATTTTTATCACATACATTTGAATATAAAACTTCATTAAAGTTAGTTTTGAATTATAATCAGCCTTAAATCTTTACATATTCAACCTAATGAAATAAAACTTATCAAATTTACTTCTATGCTCATTGTTCTCTCTTATTGCACGCAAATAGAATTAAGCATAAATATTTATATTTCATGTAAGAGAAACTTTTTTTTTCACAATTTTTTTCAGAGACAAATAATCGACTTCATCACCTCTGCTATTTCAACTTTCCTTTCCCAAGTCTTCACAATTCTGTGTAATTCTGTAACATTTGCTTTTTCTTTAACAAATTCCATTACTTCTGGAACTTGGTAATCTGACAAGTATTCTTTTAAACTTTTGTTCATTTTCTCCACTCCAGTTTTATCCTGTCACAAAAACAATAAAATCAGTGTACATTATATAATAAAGAAAATTAAGTTTGATCAATGTATATCTTTTATAGTAATATTTTGCCTGTTATGTTTTATTTAGGTTTTCTTACCATAATTATCAATGAATATTTTTATTTAAATAAGCATTTATTGATACAAATATTAAATCAGATAAAAGTATGAAAATAGGAATATATTACAAATGATTGATGGGTAAGCAATATAATAATAAAAAATGCTGTTTATACATATTATTTATCATAAGTAAGCTTTTATGATAGGCACTATGCTTCTATAGAAACAAGCTTAAAATTTTGGTACCCAGGTTTAAAATTTAGTCAAATTCAAATAGCTCTTTCAGATAGAAGCCAGTTTTTAATGGGTAAAAATGATACTTGAAATTTTTACTAATACAAAATCAGAGATTCAGTAAGACCAACTGAATTGTACATCGAATGTAGATGTCTATATGTAATAAAAAACCTGACACAAGATTGCATCCCTTAAGCTTTCAAAAAAAAAAGGAAAAAGTAGTTCCACAGTGAATCTTCTGAAAACTCTTCAAGTGTATTGGATGTTGATGTCCAAAGGATAGAATTTCACTGCTGTGACATATTAAATGACCCTAAAATTTGACTTTATATATATTTGGATGTATATCAGCTACTTAAAATGTCTATACACTATATTTGAACTTAGATTGAGTGGTTTTCTTACTCTTTGTTCTATTTTGATGGAGCGGGTGAAAAGAATCACTGGGGTTACTTACCTCAACCACTTGCTTATATTCTGAATCAATTCTGGCACAAAGGTCTTTCTGCGTTTGGATCTCTGATTTGAGCCTGTTTGACTCTAACATTAATTCTTGCAACCTTTTCTATAATGGATTAGCATGAAATTTACATTATTTACATGTGGACTATTGTCCTCATCTTTGTTGTTGTTATCATCACATTATTGTGATAACAAGAAAGCCGAGGACAATATAAATAATAACTCTTCATCCCAGAAATTCAAACAAATTATTTAAAAAGCAAAAAAAATTAAGTGTAAATTTTTATAAAATTTCTCCTAAACTTATTTTTGAAAACATCACTAAAATACTAGGTTATCTGTATATATTTATTCACTGTATTACAAATTTAATGATAATAATCAGTTAAAATGGTTAAGACATTAGAAAATATGAAATGATATTCAAGTGATAGTTCACTTTGCACAAATGTCTATGAAAAATCTACCTTAAATTGGCATTTACAGTATATTGCAGATTTTACATGGTCTACAGTAGTGAAAATTATTTTGATCTAGTTTAAAATCAGTTTTTGTTCCACTATGAGTGTTTAATAAGGCAAACCAACAACTTGACTTTAGAATAGAACATATCCTTTTTGTTTTAATAATTTACTTTTCTTTACTATAATCTATACTTTTATCTATTTTTTTCAAAAGACAAGAAATTGGAACAAGTATCTCTTTCTAATCATGAAATTGGTTAAGTAGTAAAGTTATAATAAATCCTTATAATCTTTATATAGAGTTTCAGATTTTCATGAACATAAATTGAATGCTAACAGATCTTTATTTTCTGATGTCATAAATTTTAAGAAAAAATATTTGTGTAAATCATTCATTTATCATGACTAAATTTAAAAGATGACAATCTAAAAAAGATACTGAATGCTGGTGTCATAAGTGAAAATAGTATGATTGAATAATTTAAACATAATAACAAAAGCCACATCGATTGAAGACTTCCAACTGCAGCAACAACAAAAATGGATAGCACATGTAAGTAGAAAAAAATGCATCAATATGTTGACTTTTCCACACTACCTTAAAAGTTAGGAAGGAAATTCCCATCACTACTAGAAATAGTGGACTTCAGAAGCCTATTTTCCTGAAAACCTTTTTAAGAGAAAGATTTCATAAATTTCAACTGACAGCAATGCTGTTTAGTCAGTGAATGCCAAATGTTTCCTGTATGGAAAAAATTAATCATACTATTACCATCATGGCATGTGGAAGGAAGTGAAATGAAAAGACTGTGGCTTTGTTGAGTTGAGATCATGACACTAATTTCTTAATATCTTAAAGTTAAAATCTTTGCTTGTGTTATCACAAAAAATGTTCACATCTGAGAAAGTAATAATAAAACTGCTGCTACACAAAGTGATGATACTCTCAAAGAAAATAGGCATATATAGAATTTGAGGAAGAAATGCAGCATGTCTTAAATAAGAAAAGCAGTGCAAAATTAGTGCCTGTAATCTTAGAATTGTCAGTATGCATTTTATGTTTGAAGGGCAAAGTTTCTTTTGGTAGGATGGACCCTTAGATACCTTAACTGCTGCTGCATTGTTCAAAAGCAAGCAAATTCAAAGTAGAATGATGTAGAATTGGTTTCACATTATGTTACCTTGATGGTGTTCAACAGCTGCATTGTTTTGCTTGCATCTTGTTTCAACCTCAGAAGATCAGTGTTTCTCTCTTCTATTTTTTCCATATATTGTTGGTTTTCTATCTTCAGCTGATTAAAATCAACAGCATGTAAGACTTCACCCATTTCTTCTTTCTGAAAAATAAAAAGCAAATTTTTCTTGAAATTTTGCTATGAATACTCTGAATATCTAATGATTTTTTTATACTACTATTCTCATCTTTATTTTTAAATAATGTGTTGGGTGGTTTAGTTACAAGTCAATGTAGCATCTAGTGAATAGTTTTAAATACGGTGTTTTTTAGCTTTTAAGATGTATTAAATCCCTCGCTGTTTTTCAAGGGGGTTTTTTGGAAAAAAATAGTTTTAGTACATTTTTCTTATATTCAGTGTACAAAACAGTTTTTGGGCTGTGTGTGTATGTGCGTAATTGAATGACAGAATGGAAAAATTCTATGTAACGTTTCATAAAAATTTAGTAATGTTCTTAATGATAGGATTTTATTTATATCGAGGAAATATAGATGTAAATGTCAGTTATAATTATGCACTGAAGGGAGATGTTGAAGATGTATGGATGCTAATTGTAGTTATTTTGTGGATTATCCCACTTAAATTTGCTAAAAAACTGTTGCTAGGGGGCGCTCCTTAAACCTATAAAAAGGTGTGCATTTCTCACCCTAGTCACTTTTACAGCTTTTTAACTCTGGCTATCATAATTAGTTATACATGGTAAAGTGCAGGGACACATTCATTTCATGGTTTTCTCTCTTGACTTTTGTACTCTCTGACACACACTTGTTACACACACACACATTCTTATTATAGCTAGTTTCATATTTTTTCCTTTCGTTACATGTAATTCCTTTTTCATTTCATGTTACTTATTTTTTTTTACTTTGACTCACATTGAGTCAGCCAAAATTTTTTGTGGGATAAATTTTCCAGGCGCTCATAAATATTTACTATCCAAAGTATTGATTCCTGCAACATAATGGTGACTAAATCATACAAGCATACTGCAACAATTTCTCCTTTACATCACTTTTTTTTCTTTTTATACTCTCTCCCTATTCCATTTCTTTCTTTCCTTTTCTCCTTTGGCTTTGAGTGCCAAAGATAATGTAACAATGTCATTTCTGGTATCATACACACACACACACAAAGGTCTCTCTGAATGTCTGTAGGTAGTATAGTAGCAGTGTAGGTTGAGTCTTTACACCAATAACCTATCTTTTTTTTTTACTGTGTTACAAATAACAACTGAGTAGCAGTCTGGTAAAATGGCATCTGATATGAAAGTACATATGAAGTTGAGATATATTATCTAATACCTCCAAGCTGAAAAGAACATTAATAGTTTCAACCACTGTACTCTCTGGCCTTTTCAGGTGTCTGTCATAGTTGATAACCTTCCAGGAATTTCAAGCCAATTCACAAGGGTAGATTGTTCTCATTCTGCTGACTTTACTCAAGAATATCTCATATGGTTTTTTTTTTCGCAAAATTCTATCAACTTAGTTAATCTTTGTGATGTCACTTGTCTCTTCCACAATATATGACTTATTTTCATTTGACAGCAGATACCTGAAGAAGGCCAGAGGGTACAATGGTTGAAATGTTGTTGTGATAACAAACAACTTAAGGACAACAGTCTAAGCAAATCATTGTATAATAATGATAATTCTTCATCTGAAAAATTCAGACAAAAAATATTATTATATGACAAAGAATTAGAATTATTTATAGAAAATTAAGAACTGGTCTTGTTAACAAATATCTTCTTCGGACTTATACATTCCATTAAAATTGAAATGGTTAATATTTACTCTCTCTGAAGATTAGGAAAATTTACCTAACAACTAACTTTTGATCAGAGGATTTTGTGTTTGTGTACTGTTGTTTAAGAACCTGTGTAGACAAAACACAAAGTTTTTTTTTTAATATTAAGAATGGTCCCTTGTTTTGTCTGGTCATTGATAAAATATTTTATTCCTTTAAATCAATGTTTTAAAAAAACTTACATCAGCAATTGTGAGGGAAATTTTTCTAACACCTAAGCTAAATTCAAAATACCAGTAGCTAAGTGGAAAAAGCTGTTGTACCTGTTTTAGTTGTAATAAAAGCTTCTTCATTTGAGTTTTTTGGGTAGCATTTTTTAACCTCAGCTTCTCAATCAGTGCTTCCTGAAATGTATTCATAAAAAAAGAGAAAGAAAAGAAGAATTCATACAGAGAAACAGAAATTTCCTAAGTATCATTGTTATTAAATATCGAATAAACAAAAAATAATAAGGAAATCCTATTGAGATATTTTTGTAGTATATTACATAAACAGAATTCAGAAACATTTTTATACTGTTTGGAGTAACTCCTAAAACTCTTTATACAACATCCACTAATCATTTATAAGAATTAGAAATGTTAAAAAAGGCTTCAGTGAGATTTGAATTCACATCCACTATTTTTGTGGTGCTTTTAATAGTTTTTAAGTGCTTTTCAAATGGTATTATAGTAAATTTATATATCATAGTGGTTGATACTCAAGTAATTAGCTATACAAATAAAATAGGGCCAACTTTGTTCTTGTCTAAGAGAGACTGTTTATAATCACCACTGTTCTTTAAATTAAACTACCACTACAGTTATCAAAAATATATTTGTCAAGTAAGTGAGTATAAGCAAACTGTAGAATCTTACTGTGTCAAATTTTGTTCATAAAAGTTGTAGTGGGGGAGATCTTTAGTCATATACAAATCTTCAGCAACTAGAAGGTTAAAGGCACAGAAATTCTCAAGATCTCAAGCTTTCATTTATTTCATATTCAAGTTACACATTAATCATTAAGAATCTTAACTGCAATGATCAAGTAAGAACTGTTGGTATCAAAATGCTACAACTCTAATCCATGTATAGGTATACACACAGTACATGTTTGAGTAGACAACCCTGTCTTTTAAAGAGAATAATTGATGTCTACTAGCCCGGATTAATGAACATCTGGTTTGAAGGTGATTTCCCCAATATAAGAGGCCTCAAGTTCAATCTCTGCTAAAAGGCACATTTACTTTATTAAGACTTTGAATTGTCCTGGCTAGTAGATGCCAATTACACTATTTAAAAGACAGATGTATCTCCACAAACATGTGTATCTACTAAATATAATGTTTATAGTAATAAGAAATAATGTTGGATTATAAATAAGATCCATCAATTCCTCAGAATTTACTCTGTTTATGTTTTGGATATGAAAATAAATTTAGCAGATATGGGCTTTGAAAGATTCTGAGAGAATAATTAAAAAAAAGAGTAATTTAGCCTTGCTTCAATATGAAATCCTTTCATGTGTCAGTGGTCTAAAGTATACCTGACTTGAAGGTGGTTTCTTCAGTATAAAAGGAAACACAGATTCAATCCCTGCTGAAAGGACACATTTTCTTTATTAAGACTTTTGACTTCCCAGGCAATCATGTCTATTCAAACATGTATATTCAATAAAAATAACATTTATAGTAATAAGAAATAATGTTAAATTTTAAATAAAATTCATTAATTCCTTAGAAATATACATATATCTACACATATTCATATCAATATAATAAGTTCAGTTGTTTTCATAGAATTAACAACAAAAGTAAAGCTTTATAAGAAAGTGTAGCTGCTATATATTAAAGACATATGGCTTTTTAGTGTCTGAAGTAGTTGCACAATTCTCACTTGGTACTAACAGTTAGTTGGTTTCTGAATGCAGGTAATATCAGGATTTCAAAAACTCTGATTCACAAAGCAGGCCTTCCTCGCTTGAAAATTGAGACAATTTTACTTCCCATTGTTATTGTCTATGCCATATTAAGATACACTTAAATATCTATAATAAAAAATATTGACAGCAACAGGAAAAAAATAGAGTAACAATAATTTTTAACAAGTAAAAAAGTAATATTATTAATAAAAAGAGAAAAAGGAATTTTAAGTCTAATGTTATCAAAATTTTATTTATTATATATAAAATAATCTAACAGCATATTCTTATATATCTATATATTTTTCTATTTTACAAGGCAGCAAATATTTCTAAAACAATTTCTTAAATTACATTGGGTTAAAAACGTGTTTTACACTAAATCAACTATAGGGATTATGAAACTGTACTCAAAATTGTTCTAGTTCATCAGGATTTTGTATTATCTGCATGTACAAGATTGGGATAACATTGTCTTATATCAATTACAGTAAGTAATAAAAAAAACTCATTTTTTTTGACACCCAACCACTCTGAAATGTTCATATTGGAACTTCCGGTGCAAATGCCAAGCAGTACAGCATGCTGTTTCCAAATTTCTGACGGAATGAATTGCGTGATGGTGCTCTTTTTCTCACAGATGGTGCCCAACTGACCCTACTATACCGTGTAATTGATAAAATAAAAAACAAAAAATGCATATGCATGAAATTAAAAATATAAAATAGCGACAATTTACCCATCGCACCTTGCTGTAGATTTACCCTAAACAAAAATATGCTCTGTGTATATCTAAAAAAAACTGACAATATGAATATATGAATCATATGTTAATTATATGAATAATACTTGATTCAGTCTAGTATAGCATTATTTTATATAGTAGTGTTACTATTGATCACTGTTAAAGTGTTTAGGAATAAAATGTCATCACGTGAAAGAGAGGCAGTTTGAATGCAAATTTAAATTCATTTTATTCTCAAGGCTAAATAATAATTGGTGAAATATATATATTATTTCTCTTGATATTCCCCACAAAAATATTTTAATAATATTTAAATTAAAAAAAAAAATATTGTTAGTAAAGAAACAATAAGTAATAAATGACATGATGGACAAGAATTTTTTTGTGTCAGAGTTATCTACCTTAACCATTTTAAAACCTGTAGCAGAGTTACCTACCTTTGCTCTTAGTCGGTCTTCAAAGGTACGAATTATTCGCTCAGCAATGTGTTTCTTATTGTCTCTTTCAATTTCATGTTTTTCTTTCTCTATTTCTCGTAGTCTAACTTCGGATTCTTCTAGAACAGCCTGCATGAATAAATAAATAACATTTCAAATTTGGGAAAACAAGCAAAATAACATTTTTAAAGTCTTTAGAATATTCTATTTTTTTTTTCAACTTCATAAGAATTTATTCCTACATTTTAATAGATTTCATTTTTACATAATAGATTTAAATTTAAAAGCAAATATAAAATGACTCCCTCACAGCTCAATTGTTATGTGGTAAATTTGTAGAGCAAAAATAATTTTTATTTAATTTTTCATCACTTCACCCCAAGCAAAGCAATAAAGACACTATACAAGGGATTACTAAATGTGAAAGAATATGAGAATAAGAAAAACATTAAAAGAACAAGAATTATGAAGACAGAAGATAACAATTGACATTGCATTTAAATTTTTGAAGATCAAACTTGACTGGAAAGCAAGAAACCAGAAGAGAAGTGCAAGAGATTAAATTGTTTGCATAAAACTTATGGTTACATCTAGTCATTTCATCTATAAAATAATGAGACCTGGCTGCCAATCTTGTACTTTGCTTAAATTCATAAAGTCCAGATACCAAAAAGGAAAGCTCATTAGAACAATTACCATGAAAATCTTTTTAGGAAAGGTACAGCGAAGCTATTTAAAGACAGTGGGAAATTTACTGAAGCTCAGATGCCAGGTCAGGACTGATAACATTACAGATTCTTTTGGATTTTATCAAGAATCTCTAAAAACATAGCAGAAGCATCAAACCAGATTTCTTGTGTCATAAATATAAAGCAATACTTTCTGTTGTATTATAAAACATTTTTCTAACAATGCTACAAATTATGATAGATATAAAAACTAACCAACCTTTTTGCTCATACACAATTTTCCTACTTTATTCCAACATTATAAATATTTTATCATGTTAAAAATGTGAATAACTAAAATAAAATATCTTGAAAAATGTGTTTTGTATGCAAGTAGCTCATTAGTCAGATGTAAATATCAGTGTAGGTGTTAAGTATATAGACATCAGAGAGAAGGATAAACTGTTGATAAATTGAATCAAAGTATCCATGTATATAAAAAATGAGATGTATCACTGATCATTTATGGATTTAGTTAACATGTCTCTCTTACAAGTTACTGAAATTGAGCTTGACCTTAGTTGAGGTCACTAAAAGTTGAATAAATATCAATTCATTTGTCAACTGCATTTGACATAAAGTGAAGGAAGATAATATTGAAACCTTACACTGATGCTTGATTTGAACAAGCAAATAATCATTATAAAAAAATGTAAAACATTCTAAACAGAATCAAGTGAAGTTAGAATGCTGTGGCACAAAGAGCATTATTTGCTTAACCCCAGTTAGTCACAAAATATTAATTGGTAAGGCTTTAGAGCTAAAGATGCTAGAAAATTAGAATACTTGTATAGAAAATCCCCTAGAATAAGTGAGTTGATTGCCCAGTATAAGCAGTTACACTGCTTACAATTGTAAAATTGATGCATAATTGCATCAACTTTACAATTTCAATGTAATTCTTATGAACTTATATAGACAAAGTAATTGCCTTAAATTAAAAAATAATATCAAAACAGATGCACAGAAATATTTTACTAATCTTTCCCTTACCTTGTACATATCCAGAACTTTCTCTGAGTCTTCTTCTGCTCTAGTAATTTCTTCTTTTATTCTCTCCACTTCCTTTTGAGCAATGTGACATTTTTGTTCAGTGGTTAGCCGTACTGTACGATCAATAGCATGACATCGAACTTTACTGCGTTTCCTGCCTGTTGGTCGGGGAGCTTCACCGGTAGATGTATGGGTTGTAGGGGCAAAAGATGTTGAGAGGGTAAGTGAGGTGGTGTCTTGCTTTTTATAATATCTTTCAAACATTTCTGTTTCAATTGTAAGAACACCATTTTTATCTCTGTTAATGACAAGATATAAAAGAAATTCAATTAACAATGCTCACACTTTTTATATATATATATATATATATATATATATATATATATATACTGATGAAAAAAAATAAAATTACAACACCTTGAATTAATTTTTCACTTTACCTAGGATCAAATATACAAATAATAGAGCTAAATATCATGCCTCATATTAATACACTGTATAATCTCCTTGTGCATTAACATAGGCCTGTAGTCTTGCATGTATATAAGCATACAGATGATGAATACCTTCTTGTGATACATCATCTTGCACCTGTTCATACAATACAGTAAGATTGAACAAGTCAAGCATTGTCCTATTATATTCCATACATGTTCAATGGGAGACATGTCTGATGCTGGCCAGGGAAATTGTTACACATCTTGCAGAACTTGAGTAGCATAGGCATCATGTAGATGGGCATTGTCTTATTGGAACATTGCATCAGCTTCATGTTGTAGGAATGACAACATAAAAGGTGAAACTATATTCTGGACATACTGACATGCTGTTCCAATTTCTCTCAAAAAACATCAAAGGTTTAAGTGAGAGTTATAGTGTATGGCATACTATACCATTGGTTGTACCTGTATATCATGAGTGATTACACTCTGGAAGATGTCACTCACCAGGTCTATATAATACATGCAAATCACCATCTAAACTCTGACACAGATGGTGCACTACATCAAAAGATAAATGAAGATTTTGAAAATTTTAACAGAATATCTGTTAATCTCAGGTATGTCTTTGCTTTATTATGAATCAACATCAAAATCAGCATTGTGCTTCATAATGTTGTGTTTTTACTTTCTGAAAGTGTATATGTATATATATATATATATATATATAGATAGATAGCTAGAAAGATGTTTTGATCATTCACATACAACACACATTTGACGGGTAAGAGTGCATGTGTGTCTATAAATTTTAATATTTTTTTAACAAAATTAAATAACAAGAATCAAGTAAAATTAAAATTTGTGCAATAGGGACACAATTCATGTTTGGAATTTAAATTACTTCAAATAATATACCATTGATGAATAATCTCGAAGATTAAATGCACCCCCACCACTTTCTTACTCATATATTTTGTTTTGTATGATATCATGGCATCTAGATCCAAGCATCTGTATTGTGTTAGTGATATAACTACTCCTATGGTTATCATTAATTTTTTTATGAATATTTTTTCATCTTATTTCCTTTACCTTTTATTGCAAATTTCAGACTATGATTGTTAATGTGTACTGAGGATTACAAATAATAAGTAAGTTTATATTTGTTGTTGTTCTTATAACAATAATATAGACAAGCTTACTCAATGACAGTGTTAGGATTTATAATTAAAATCTTAGAATAATCTATAAATAAATTTAGCAAAACTTATGTAAACTCAATAATAAACAAATCTTTCATATAAATGGTATGTGTCCACAAACTCTCCTGTGTACTTTAGAAAAGAATTTGTTGATGAAGTCCAAATTTATTTTTATTAAGATTTTGTGGAATTCTGAGTGAACTAAAATAACTATCATGTTCTAAAAGTCCCAGTCTTGCTTGTTTAATGTAATCACACATTTCTAGAAGTTGATAATGTTAGAATATTTGTCTCAATACAAATCATACAAACCATAAGTTATTTTTCATAATTTGAATATAAACTAAATTTGAAAAGTAAGATTAACTTAATTAGGATTAAAATAGGAATAGCTTTAATAAATATGGCAAAATGAACACTTTTTGAATTGTAATTAACAGAATAAGTATCTGTTGTTAGGTGATGTTAAAACACGCTAGGTGGAACTTATTAAATGAAATTATCACAAGATTTATTCAGTATATCAGGGTCTTTATTTGGGAACACAAATGTTTTTATTTTGACTGATAAAAATATGATACAGTGTGATATTATTTTATCTATTTGATTATCAACAGATAATATCAATATTGCTTATTCCAGTATTTTACTTGGACAACTTTTGACAATTTTTATTAGAGTAAAAATAATCAATGTGTTTTAAGAAATATTGTTGAAATTGTCTCCTTATATTAAATACAGTGTTTGATTGATTTGTTTTCTACAGCTTATCAACCCATTGCAGGTTATTTAAAGCCAGAAAATATTTTTAGACTAAGAATTTTTTTTCAGATGTAATAATGGCAGGGTTAGGGTCAGAAATACAAAAAACTCAATGAGAATTGGAACTTGGCTCTCCGATTAACAATCCTAAGTTATTATCCTTTACACCACCCACACATCCAAGCTTACAGCACTTGGTATTCTTATGCGGTCACTCATCTAGGTACTGACCAGTCTTGCCATTTTTTAATTTTAGTGATCATACCGGAACCCATGTTTCAACGTGATGTGGTCGTAAGCCTAATTTCACAGGAGGGTTAGACAACAAGTCTACCATCAGAAAAAAATGCACAGATACTGTCATGAAAAATATATCTTTTGAAATTTGTAATCAATTAAAAAAAACTAACAATTTGAAAAGGATCAAACAAATAAGAAGAAAGGGTATTTTTTTTTTTAAGAAAAAAGAATTTTTAACCCAAAATGAAAAAAAAAAAATTATTGGTATGAAAAAATAATCTAAACGCAAAATTCATTCTTACTCTAAGCCTTTAACTGTAAAAGCTAATTGTTCGTCTGTTAATTCGTTGAGTCTTTCGTCCACAGTCTCATTACTTGTGGTAGCTGTACTGCAACTGAAAGACCGGTCTGCCATTTTGACAACTTAGGCGCCGTATCCATAGCAACGCCCCACCCTCTCTCAACATCAAGTACCTTGCGGGACGAATTTGTGAGGGTAGGGGGATATATGTTACGTCACTTCCGCTCCGAACCTGTCTATTTTTTTTTACCGGCTCGATAGTTGCGTCATCCTTTTTTTTACGCTATTTTAGGGAACTGCAAGAAAATAAGGTCCGTTAAGTGGATCGTTCTACACTGGGAGTAGGGAGTGAATATTTTTAAGGTGTTGAATATCTGTCACTTGTTTTAAACAGCATTAAAAATATATATTTAATGGTGTGGGAGTGTTATTGGAGGTATGGATGGCTAGTGGTGTAGCGAATATATTTGTTTCTGTACTTACAATAGGCTGCCACGCAAGCAAGACCAGATAGAGTTGAAAGGGAAAAAGCAGATAAGACTTAAAAACTAAACATTTTATAGAAAAAAAATTGATCTACTAAAATTATGCGATTATTTTCATTAAACGATGATGAAATAGAAATAGGCAATGATCGAACGATAAATATTGTTTTAATATTCAGATATAACGAGAAAGAATGTTTCAAGTTTTGATGACTAGGCTGGTCATCCATATTCCGAGATGTACTTATTGAACCTGTTTAGCTTATTCGGCTCAAGTTCATTTTAGACTTCTACAGTGCTAAAATTTTACTCCTAAACATTAACAATTACCTTTCTCATCTATCTTTTTTTTATTTAGAGTTTAAAAATTTATTTTTCACTAAAAAGCGAAAGAAAGACTAAATAAATTGATTTTTGTGCAGTGCGCCTTTATGATATTCCTAATTCTGAACTTAAAATTAATTAATCCAGCACTCTCCCATCGTTGAAAAAAAAAGAGGAATTTATAAAAAAAAGTCTCATGTACAACAATAATGTTACAATTTATATTCATTTTTTAGTTACTGTCTCTCATAAATAAAACTTTTTAAAAGATTTTTTAAAATTAATGGATTAATTCTGAAGTCTTTTTGACATCGAAAGAAAATTATTTATTCCTAATAGATCGTTTTTTGTTCTTTGTACTTATTTAGCATGAGAAAACTTTACGGGTGTACTTTTTTTTTACTAAAAAAAAAAGAAGAGGAGAGAGACAGACTAAAGTTTTTCTCTCTCTCATCTTCTCTATCTCTCTCCGTTGCCTTTTTAAAAGGAACATTTGCTTGTCTTGTCATTTATACCCTCAGAAAGAAGAATACCCTTGAAATATGTTTGTAGTTGTACTAAGCAGTATGAAATAAAGAAAAATATTTTCACAACAATTTTTCCAACACTTCTGGCGCATAATGGGAGACAAAAAAAAGTCAAGGCTAGTTAATTGAGATAGCATCAATATTGGCTTTCTTTAGTAAACAAAATTTTTAAAAAATCCACGTTTCCCATATTAAACGTTGTTTTAGTAAGCGACAATGTCTCCCCTTCCAATGGATTGGTATCATCATTTCTTCACTTAAAGAAAGAATTAATCTTGATATTTTTTTAAAAACTGGCTTTAACACATATGATTACGACGGGTAGTGGTTGGGGAGACACATCATTAATGAATTTTACGAAAAGTAACACAGTGATGTGTCAATATTCAGCAAACAACGTAATGACAGAAGGCTAACGACAGGTTTTTTTTTTAGTTTTTACAGTTGACAGCTCTATTCTTTGTCTTGAAATTCTTTTCGTAAGTGATTATTTCTAACAAGCCTTACCGATTTGCTGGCAAGTTTTGAAACTTACACGTTAATATTTTCGATTCACTGGTCTAGCCACTAAAAACTATTTTCAAGGCCAAGTGTACTGTAGAACGTGGTATTTGCGAAAACATCCTGTTTACCCCCGCTCTCACTCTTTCCCTCTCTCATCAATCTACTTAAACCAGAAACAAGGTGTTTAATCCAAGAGGGATTTAAATTAATATTTAATAAATTATATATATATATATATATATATATATATATATATATATATATCGGAATAAAGAGTCGTGTGTTGCAGAAATATTTTTTTAAGAATTGGTTTAGTTTGCAATAAAGTTTATTGAATTAGTTTATTGAATAAACTAACCAAACACCATATGAGAAAATAAACATCTATGCAGGTGAATGCTGCTGATGACAACAATTCTTATTGTTCTTTCTTTTTTTATTATTATTCATTTGTTTGTATTCATTGAGTTTTTTTCACAGCACAGCCACACCAGTCTGGTGGCTTTTACTGGTGATTGATCAAGTGACAGCAAGTCTCCACAACATTCCAGTACTCTCGTTATCTCAATTGATTTAATTATGCTATCATCCAGATAGTTTCAACAATTCTTTCTTAGATTTCCATTGCTTCCAATCTCTGAACCAAGCTCTTCAAAAACTATTCCAAATATGCCTAAAGTAATGATGAGCACAATAACTATCTTCATGTTTCACAATATTTTTCACTTCCCTGGCAAGGTGCAGATATTTTAATTACTTGCAAGTGTTAATTTCTGGGCCTTTTCTAGATTAGAGAGTTATCTTGGCATCCATCATCTACTCACAGATTCTTATTTCCATCTGGCATTTGTGTAAATGTTACGTGAATCTTGAACCAATATCTTGCTTTCTAAATTAGAATTTTTCTTATAATTATTAATATATATCACAAATTCCGTTACCCCTTAGGATTGTATGGTCACTAGATCTACTGCAACCACAGTGTTGCGGCGTTAAGCAGGTGCTGTTAACCCCGTAAGCAGAAAAATAATGTAGGGTATTACGATCGAAGCAAGGACAACAAAGGCGAGGATGTAAAAGTTTAAGCCAAATTTTATTTAATAATCTGGCAAAAGTATGTACAGGAAATTGTTTCCTGGAGTTCGGTCGTGAAGTTAGAGAGTGTCAGTTGAAGGAGTGTTGTCATGTTTCAAGGCAGCTCGGAGGTAGTCAGATGGAACAGCGATGTTCGAGGTCCAGTCAATCCCCGGATGTCTGCCCTTTTGTAAAGAGCACGTCGGCGCTTAGGAAGAGAGAGACGCGGACGGCGCTGGCTGGTGTAGTCTGTTTGTCCTAGGTATGACAGTCATGCAAGATTACAGCTTGGTAGCTCTAATAAAAGGACATTCGTAATAATGTGGCTAGATTAGTGCTGAAAAGGACTATCGCAAATCATGTAACTGGTTATAGTCCTGAAAAGGACTAGTGCATATCATGTAGCCGGGTGCTGCTGCTGCTGAAGTTGGGTCAGCCTGCTGCTGCTATTGAAGTTGGGTCGGCCCGCTGCTGCTAGGTTTGGCTGCATCGTGTGGTCAGCGAAGGTGAGAGGGGGAGCTCGTCGCTCTACCCCAAGTCCAAAATCCGCCAAGATATCTGGTGGAAGAAATCAGCTGTGTTTATATAGGCTGAGATCAGCATTGTAGCCAGTTAGCGATATCTTTGGGGTGATGACTGAAAATTACCTTCTGCCTTTTGACTGTACACATGGGTTTCATTCGGACACCATGTGTATATAAAGTAGTTTCTGGTAATTATTTTTAGTTAGGAAGGCTCATTTATGTTAATGTTTTGTTTGTTTTGAGTTTTTGTGAATCGTTCTCTGAAAAATGCTGAGTCACCAGAAGTTAACGGCATTCGTTCTGTTTTCCGCGGTGACGCTTTTAGACGTTTGAGTAGCCGACAGTAACTTCCGGCCGGGTGCGATAACAGCAACAATGATTTTCCTGAGCCCAACTTTCTGCAGGCTGGTTTGAATTCAGAGTTTTCCTTCTAGACTGGTTGCCAATCAAGACAACAGGGACCAAGATGTCCTGCTGTTTAGTTATTTAACCATAGCTGGGGGAAGAAAGAGATGGATTCATGTCTTTTCCAAAGGTATTAGAATGTAAGTGAATGTATTGAACTGAACTGGAATTTGAACTTTGTTCCCTGATTCCTCAATCCTAACTGCTAACCATTACTCCACCGTACTATATATATATATATATATATATATATATATATATATATATAAATAGGCAGAAAAAGGTGTGTGTGTGTGTGTGTAACGAATGCATGGCTGCAATTTTCAATGGATTTGCACCAAAATTTACATGTACATACTCAAAGTTAGCGGGAAGGCCAAGACCGACTTTGCATTTCCCAATTCCCATTGATAGTGATTTTTTCATGCTTCTACACCAGTTTTCATGTAGTTTGCGGCCATTTTCTGCTGGCCAGAGTGAGACCCTATAGCTGGCTACCACAAATAGGCAGGAAGATTCTATTGGCCAGCATGAGAGACAACAGCTGACTGACACAAATGTTAACTAGCATGCAAAAAAAATCGATAGCTGCATTCGTCACAAGTGGGAAAAATTTAAATCTGCATGGCACTTTACTCCAATTGGCTGATTCGCTTGCTTAAACTCAACGTTGATTCTGATTCCGCAGAACTGGGTTGGGTGTGAAAAAGTATTTATTGTTAACATTCTTTTTTCATTCAGTTTTTCCAGTTACGAGTCGTTTTTTAAAGCTGATCGTTTTGTGTTCATTTTGTTTAGTTCTTTTTTTGTAACAGATTTAATGTTTAGTATAGAGCTTAGAAAAAATTCGCAGTGTGAGATAGGCAAGATGTAAGGCATGTAGCAACATCAGCACGGCAAAGGGCACTCCTTTAAAGGCAAGGAAGGGCAAAAATATTTTAAGTCAAGTGATAGCGATTGCTGTATGAGTCATGCGATTTTTGAATCAAGCCATGCTGCTAGTATATATATATTTATATATATATACTTTCTATTTTATATATATATATATTCTTTCTGTCTTATATATAGTGAAGATAATAAATCCATTGGTATATAATCCAAGTGGATCCTAGTAATATAAAATATTAAAACTGATCCACAAAAAGGGATCAATGTATTTAGTATAATAGAGCCAATAAATAGTATTACACAACAAAATCAAAAATTACCTCATTTGGGGGATAGATCTATTTCAACCGACAAAAACTTTGTTAGCCTTATATCTAACT